GAGAGAGAGAGAGAGAGAGAGAGAGAAAGGAGGAAAAAAGAAAGAAAGAATGAGAAAGGATCGATGACCCGTGCGAATGGATCGTTCTCTCTCGTGCAATGACGAACTTTGGAAAGAGAGGGAAAAAAAAAAAAAAAAAAGAATACACGAAGAGGATGTTCCCTTGCACGCGAAAGACTGGTGTGGCATCGCGCGTTTTACAATGCTGAGACGAGAAAAGGTCAGCTCCGGGCCCGTTTATCTTCCAACCATCCAACGTTTTTCTCAGAGTCTCGATTGCCTCGCGCCATCCTTCCTTTTTCCTCTCTCGAACAACTCTTAAGGTAATCGCGAAGGATTCTTTGGACAGAGCACGCGATACAGAGGCTCGAAGAGGGTATAAAGAGGTTTGACAATCTCTTCGAAGGATTGTTTTGAATGGAGGAATCGCTGAATTTTTGAACCTCTTCAGAATAAGTATTAATTACGTCGTTGAATAAATATTTTTAAGTTATAATACTTTTGTGTCGTTTGGATATGTAATAAAATTTCATTTTTCAACACTTTGATTTTTATTCCTATTGTGAATGTCTAAAATTTTCGATAACGTGACGGATAACTAAGATCTAAATGGATTTAAAAATGTTTTGACGGAAAAATAAAGAAAAATGTTCCATTAATTAATATTCTTCTAATATTGACTTTCTGCCAATAATTAATAGTTCATATTAAAACTTCATTTAAAAAAAATCTTCATTTCCTGCAAAAATATGTGTTAAATAGGTCAATCAATAACTAGATAACTAAAGATAACTAAGAGATAATTAATAACAATTCCACCAAAATGAATCTTCCTAGCCTTTCTTCAAAAATGAATTTAATTTCCTTTTTTCTCTTCTCTTAAAAAAAAAAAAATAAATAAATAAATAAATAAATAAAAAAGAATAAAACGAGTAAAACTCTTCAAATTAATATTAATATCTCCTAATGAATTAATTCATTCGAGCAACGAATATTCCATTTAGATTTCTCGCATTTAAATATTTATCATAATAAAGAAAGCTTACGATTTTATATCTGCCATCAAATTTCAAACGACCCGTGTATATGTATTTAAGTGGCCATTAATATGTTCATAAGACACTTTTATCTTCGTAGAAGAATATTTTAAGAAACAATTCGTCAAAATTTCCACCTCCACACGACGTGGACCACCTTCTATGCATGTTATTTCCTCGTTGTATTCACGCTTGGACGCGTAGTATTGTCGTTGCGACACTTTCTCCCTGGAACCGATCCTCTTTGTACCTACCACAAACCGGAGGGGGCATTGAGAGAAAAATGCAGATGCGTATTCTCCTTGTTGTAAGTCATAGCAGGGCCTCGAACAATGACAAATAAATTTCAGAGGAAACAACTCGCGGGCTAACGCCTTCTTGGAACTTATATACGACTCACGAAAAGTATACTCCATTTATACGAACCCGTCGGGGGATAAGTTAATTCATGTAGCCAGAATCCTCACAATTTATGCATTATTAACAAAATTTTACACCTATAAGTGACAAGCACGATAAATTTTCTTGACTCAAATAATAAGTTTAATAATGAAATACATGAAATTTGACAATAAAAAAACTTTACGAATCCTAATGCTATCATTAGATTATTCTATTGCCTCATTATCGTGATACTTCTTTGTTTTTGTTCATAGCATCCTATTACGACGATTTGGAAATCAATTAAATTAATGATTCTAAAAAGTTGAAACAACTGCTACTATTTGTTAAAAATTGGCACGAAATTTTGAATTCTGATAATAGTAGATTACGTTATCGATCGAAAAATGCATAATAAAAAGAGTTTTTAATTTGATAAAATTTATAATTAAATTATATAAATAAAGTTACTATTCCCGATTATAAATTATAACGTCAGAAGAATAAGATCCTCAGCATGACACGAAATACAAAATTGAAGATGCTGTTCAAATAAAACTGAGCTACAGTCAATTCAATTGAATATTGACAAAAATTTCGTACCAAAAAATAAAGTTCAGATATGTAAATGAAGTTCCATTGTATACAACCGCATGTTTTATCGTGCTCTTATAACCGCGTTGCTACGAACCGCTTCGAAAGTGAAACGGTCTATCGAAACGGTACCGTTCTACCATCTTTCTCTCTCTTACATGCACCACGATGGCCATTTATAAATTACAACCGGTACGCGAGCGGAGGCACGCTTGTAGAAGCGAAGGGACAACGGGACAAAAAGAGGAGGAGGGAAAAAACAACGTGATTCCGAGGCGACTCGACGAAACCGGACTGAGCTAAAGCGAGAGCGGTCAGATGGATGAGGATGAATGTAGGAGGCCACGAGACGAAGACGAACGCGAAAGAACGGTGGAAGACGTGTTATATTAGGTTGTTGCAGATGAAATGATCAAATTCTTAAAAAGAATTTGAAATTTTATAGTTTTGTTGAAGATAAATAACATTAATCAAAGTTTGATTCAATATTCAATATATTTGATCAATCGAAGAATTAAAATTATTATAATTAGGATAATAATAATTAATTATTCTTAATAATTTGATTTATTTTTTTATATTCTCGTTAGTCAATTTAAATTTTTCATACTACGAAGAATTAAGTTGTAAAAAAAAATATTCGAATTTGATTTCAAAGTATCTAGTTTATTTGTTTATAATAAAACAATTGATAAACTATTAGATCAAATTAGATTTAAATTGAGATGCAAAAAATAGATTAGATACTTCATGATGATATATTTAGTCACTTAATTTTAAGTGATTTTACGTGTTTAAGAAATTGACTACTTCATATGTAACAACCTAATACGTAATTATCAGTCATGAATATATTTAAATATTTAAAATTTGATGGTCATAGTAGATGAATTTTAACAAATTAATGAGAAATTAAATATTGATAGATGTGATAGAATCTTCTTAATTAGAAGAGTATGATATTTGAATCATCTTATTAAAAAAACTTAGCTATATTATATTTCCTTTCTTAAATTAAATGATAATGAAGACGAAGGTCGGAGAATAATGAAGAAGAACATGCAGACAGACTTCATAACTATTCACTAGTGAATTTATGATGATAAAATGTAAATTTTAGCAAAATGACAAATTAATCTCTTGTGCTAATAATATTATGTCGCATTATATGTATTGTAAAGATTGTTTTTTATTAGGAAGAAATTTAATTTAAATTCTAAATAAAGTATTAATTAAAGTAATAAAAATAAAGTATTAATTATATATATTATGTACAATTTGCTCATATTTTATATCTAAATTATGTTACACAAGATGATTTAGAAATAAAATATTAACTTCAAGGAATTCAATAAGAAAAATTCATTAATAATTTAGAAAATCTTAAAATAAATTAGAAAGACTAATAACTAAAAATAATGTTATCTTTTTATGAAAGTAGACTATAAATTTAAATATGTGGATGCATTATTTGATAGCATTATTATTTCCTAATCTTTTACAATTGTTAACTCTAATTCTATTATTAATATTCTACTACGCATAACTGTAACAGTCACAAAGAAGAAAAACGAAAACAAAACATATCCTCTTATTCGTATAATTTTTTCCATTAAATTTCTTCCTAGTCAAAGATAAACAACTATCCAAATATTTTGGAGTGATAACGTACGAGGACATCATTGAGTTGAATCATAAATGAATAATAGAAAACGAAAAGAAAAATAAAATTACGAACGGATCACCACCATGACTTTTCTTTTCACTGACGACAATTTGCACCATACCATTCGAGAATTGCACCAGCGAGGCCATCGCTGTAATTTTACGGAAAGTGCTCGAACAACACAAAGGCGACGCAACAGAGCCTGACTTTCAGGTAACGTTTCCCTGATTCCCTTGGACGCGACCAGAGGGCCCAGACGGTCCCTTGGAGGTCAGGTTATTGTTAGCGGAAAGCCGACTCCGCGCAAGGTGCACCTTTCTTTTACTATTGCCTAGGCGACTGTACAGGTGCAAGAGGATCGTTTGCTCAGGTGTCGGTCTCTTTGCTTAAGCCTAAGTTCACAAGATGTCTCTCTTTCGTTCTTAATACAACCCGCTATTGAGATTATACCTGGAACACAAATCTGCTGTTTCGTAAAAAATGGAAAACCTTATAATTGATATTTGCGATCTTTAGAACAATTAGAAATTGAGCCGTTTGATACATCAAAAAGTACCGAAAGCAGTACTAGAAATAGAATATCTACTGCTAATGAAAAATAAAAAATATGATTACAAAAAACGTTGAAATATCCTATAGTTTCTTGTTAATAATCCTATATATGAAAGATAGTGAATTTTTTTTTCACTTGTAATATTTTCCGATACGTATCAAAATATGATTCATCGATCGATAAATATTATCTTTCAATTACGATATCATAGATTAGAGTTTTGACATACTAACAATAAGTTAATGAACCTTCTTTTCTAGGTAATAAATTGTATTTATAACCACTTGTGAATATCACAGGTGTAAGCAAAAACGTTACTCACTCATGCTATATATACATATACATAGCACGTAAGTAGTAAAAAATGCGCCCACGTATAGCGCTGGTGCATCAACGACGGTTACGCATTCGCGACGCTCGAAATATTTGAATTCATGCAAAGTTACCGCGCTTCATCGATATCGGAGTAATAATAGCGACGGAGTAATAATACGGAAATCTTCGCATCTCCTACACGTTTTTAAGAACCTTATACGAATTCGATCGTACGTATCACATCGAATTCCAACGTACGATATCGCGACAGACATTTCTCTCGAATTCCACGGCACTGCGCAATGGTTAACCACCTGCTGAGCGATCGCGTGCCAACCAGAATACCGCGGTGACTTTGGTGTTTCGGTGAAAGTGCAAAAACTTTATGGCAATATACACGTGTCCGGAAGCTATCTCCCGTTTGATTTTATTATTATTTAATAAACACACTCACCTATAAACGGTAACAATGCGAAAATAGCAAGAGTAGAAGCAGCAGCAGCCCGATGATGCTCGTGGGCTGCCATCGTGACAACGGAATTTCTTCTTACACTGGACGCCGGAAATCTGACTGAATTGTTTCTCTTTCCACAAAATCTCTTTCTTTTTCGACACTGACACTAACACTCGGTTAGCCGCGGTATTATTCAAATCAACGATGTACTGATATTGAGAACTAAACGATATAAGGCAACGGGTCTATTACTATTAAACGACTGTTGCCGCACGTCGTATCGTCACGCTAGCCGATTTCGGACTGTGGCGGGGAGCAACTCGTTCGCGCTCGGCTCGGCCTTCGGTCGAGTTCGGCTACCTTCGGCTACCACCGGTGCGCTACTCGGCACGCAGGTACGAACACGAAGCAGCGAGTGGGAAAGCCACGATCTCGCGGTTCTCCGCGAGATCAACCGATTCTTCCTCTTGCACGTTTCTTTTTTTATCCTTCTTTTTTTTCTTTCCTTTACGCACATCTTTGCATTTTTATACGCTTGTACGAGAATACGACGTCCTTGCGCGTAATTCTTCTTTTTTATCGTTGAATATTCAACGAAGGAATGTTTCCGACTTTTTTCGAAACATTGGATGTTTCTTATATTAACGAATATCATATATACTATGTTAATGGCGGTATTTTTAAATGATTTTTCAATCCTCGTAAATGAAATTTTGATTGATTCATTAATCATTAATAATTAATTCTTTTTATATGACTTAATCATAAATAGAAGTAACATGTTTAATACAAACAATGTGAAACATTATGTGAGTATTATATTAAATGGATTATTAGCAAACAAATATTTATTCAAGCTTTTTTACATAAAATATCATAGCTATTATTTAGCATATTGAATGCATGTAAATTTTGCATATTTTTTTTATAAAGTTAAAATACTGTTGTTAATTACTGTGATATTGTAATATCCATATATAATATTTATATATATATAAAGAATGAAATTATTTAAACACTTTTATGAAATGTTATTTTATATCGTTATTGTAATATTAAAAATATTGAAATTTTCACGAATCTTTAATATTCTTTTTAAATAATTATAAATCAATTAATTAAACTTCAATTAATCATTCTTTTGTGTTCACAAATGAAATATTCACGATTCTTTTCTTGGGCAAGATGTTTGAAATACTTGATTTTTAATATTCTCAATCAAATTTTATTTCATAGAAAAAAAATAACAACAATTTACTTTTAAAATAATATGTTTTATATTCAATATTTCTGTAAATGAAATATATCGTAATCTTTAGGTATTAGATATATGAATCTATAGATGTGAAATTAGGCGTCTTAATGAGATACCCAATAATGATTTATGATTACATGTACTTACTCGAATCGCATTAATCTTGAGAGACATCGTTTCATGTTAGATTAGGTGTTGAATCATAGATCGTTATTTTACATTAACATTAATTTTTAAAAGTTGTTTATAATTTATAAATATATTTTAATATTCTTGTTACTAATAACTTATTTATTATAATATATATATATATTATTATATATCTAGAAAAATAAAATATTTGCAAAATCTATATTTATTTATTTACACGAATTATTAAAAATTCGCATAAAACTCTCAAATTTGCAATGTTCATTTCATTAAAAATCATTTCAATTATTCTAAAATTCCCAATTTTTTCAAATTATACATACAACAATCACGAGTTCCCTTAACTCAAACATCTTGATATTTCTTCAACAATCATACAATCTACCATACTAATTGCAACAGAATTACATCATTATAACTCGCGTATAGCACAGGTAACCTCGTTAATTTTACAATCCAACGACTTTTCCATCCGAGAACGGAGAACAGGTACCGTATGGAAAACACATTACGCGTTTAATCAAATTCGTGCCACGTATTATCAAGCAAACATAAAAGCAAACACGGAGAGATAAGGGATTTACATTTTCACCTTGAAGCCTTGTCCTACTATAAAACGTGACGAGAACGAGTCTGGGATTATCTATTCCCTCCACTTCGACGGCAATTAACACCCTTATCGCGCGGTAACCAAAGAATTAGTAATTTAAACGATCTTCACGGGGTTGGTTTCGAGTCGGTTTTCACTCCTTTATCACGTACGTCTACACCATGGTTGACGTAGCCTCATCGTACTCCTTCTCGTCGTCGTTTTCCCCTTAAGAGGGACCATGGGCCGCGTTTTATGCCACTCGACATCGGAGCTTTCGGTTCACTTTCCACCGGTCGACGACGATTCTCGAGGATACCGGGCAAGATTAATGGCACAGGTGTACGTTTCAAAGCCGTGCAAATATCGCTGTCAACGCTGGTTCCGCGGTAATGAAACGCGCGATAATGCTACGTGTACATAGAACCATCCGCATGACGAAGCAGCACCATTCGCAAACCGTTCGAGTCTCTGATTCGTGCAGACGTCAGGGTCTTGTTGCAGCTGGTCCGGAGATTTTCCGGCGTTTCGTGATAAATTACTCCTGTAGATCGGTTGACCGACGAGTCTCGTTGACTCGTGGCCATAGGAGAAAACATTATAATGGAAATGGAAAAATTTTTTAAATTTTAAAAATTGTACAAATACGGTCTGTCATATAAAAGTATTCAACGCTAAATATAAACGGGATATATGGCTTGAAGATTGTTGTAGTGGCTCGAACTTTGTTTCCTTGCTGATTTCACATTAATCTGTGTTCGTAATAGCTCTTAGGCTTCTGTTTCTATTGATACACGATTGATTGAAATTATATAATTTATCGTATAACTCGTGTAATAATATTTGTTCTGCTAATTTCCTATTCAAATATATACACTGATTTTATCCTTTCCTTATAAACGGTTATAGAGTTAGATACTGCGGTTTCAATCTTCGTTTCTCTTCTAATGATTCAACTTCATTAAGATGACATTATAATTTGTTAAAGACTTCATTTGAATCCGAGTAGCTAGTATAACGTGGAATAAAAACGAAGATGAAAAATTCGTGGAAGGCGTAAAAAACCTCGTTCGTGGTCGCTTGGTACACAGCCACGGTTTCGAGTGGGTCCCTCTCTTTTTTATTTAGGAAAAACACACCTAAAACTCCCCTTCCCACGAGAGGATCGTTGTTCAAATAAACCCAACCGACCCCTTGCCTGTTCCTCTCGCGTCTTTCGTGCGGCTGGAAAATGTGGTGACCCCGCGAGAAAGAAGAGAAAGAAGGGCGAGTGTATAACGTGTGCACGATACGTATGTACGTGTTTGTCGTTTGTCATTGGCCCTGTTTACCAGGTCCAAATGAATTACGCTCTATCTCCCCCCTCGACAGAGGAATTTTCTTGCGAGCTTTTCACGCGAGAGAACTCACGACCCAGGTTGAAAGATACAAGCGAGCCGTATTTGTTTTCGTAGCATCGGTTGACCGGGTTCGTACGTCACGGATGCCAAACAGATAGGTACTAGCAAGAGAGAACGTTTTCTTAATTAAAAGCCTCCACTCGAGGATTCGTGGAAGTGGATGGAAAAATCCCAGTGAAAGATTTTAATTTCGGGTTCTTCTGTTACGTATACTATATACATCGATTGTTGATGGAGGCTATGACAAAACGTGAATAGAAAATAAACTTGTTTGAAGGGTGGAGGTCTTCAAATGGATGAGGTCTTCAAGTGGATGAGATCTTCAAGTGGATGAGATCTTCGAAAATTTTGAAAAATTAAACGTATAGAGATTGACAATATATTTTTATCATTAGGTTAGGTAGTACGATACTGTATCTTAAATTAATTATAAAAGTTTTGTTTTTATTATCTTGATTATTTTAATTTTACGAGATCCTATGTGTTCTTTAATTAATTCAATTTTCAATATTATTACAGGATTCGTATTATTTTTGTATATTTATTTATTTGTAATAATATTTATGTAAATTAAATTATTACTATAATTGTTTGGATATATTTATTCAATTGCAGATTCTAAAAACAATTATTTTCTATATACAATCAATATTTCTAATGATATTAAAGACTGTTCATTTTCTTTTGTCAATATTGCCATTCTAATATATATTCTTATAAATTTTAAATATATTTAGAAAGTTATAAGATAAAACTTCATCTTATTTCAATTTATTCCAAGCGTGATAAAAATCAAAATTATATAACAAATCTAAAAAAAAAAAAAAAAAGAAAAAAATCTCTATCGAAATCAAAAATCGACATAATTTTCTCATTAACCCAAATAATATCTTGCAATCTTAACAAGATTGGCCTGGTAATCAAAAGAAAAAGTTGAAAAAGAAGGTTGGGAAAAAGTAGACGATTCAAAGGAATGAATCTTCAGTGAGCTATCACAGTAACTTACTCTAAAACGGCTCGAGAGATTTCCGCATTCCATGGATTTAGGTTTTTCGCTCGGAGATCACACAAAGATCGAGAGAGGATCTCGATCCGCCAAAGGAAAGGCGAAGCTAAGTCGGAACGTTCCTCGTATCATGCGTTCTGCTCTGCTTTAGAAGCGCCGCACTTCCAACGGAAAGAGCGGAAGCGAAGTGAAAAAAGGAAAAATATTCTCCTACGACTTTATATTTTCTTCCTCCTCTTCCCTGTTATTCCCTGTTGGCCATTGTTTCGCTCCTTTTCATTTCATTCCGTTTCATTTGCTATCGTCGCGCGTTGCACCGACAGCCACGATTAATAAATGTTCCTCTATCTCTTTCTGGAAGTTCGTCGATTTACGAAGACGCGGAATAGACAGAGAGAACGAAAGAGAGGGAAGGAAAAAAGAGAGAGAGAGAGAGAGAGGGGGGAGAGGTAAAAAGACCTCGAAGACGCGAAGCTGAATGATGCTCGAGATGCTTGTATCTTCTCTTTGCGAGGGCGGCCGTTATTAAACACTTAAATCTTCCTCGATGGAGCAGAAGGAAAAAGGAGGAGAACAACTGGCAAGAGGAATAAACAAAAATGAATGAAAACGGGGACGGTGAAGGTTGCTATGGGATAAGTAAATTTATGAGAGACAAGTGATGCGCTGTTCTGCCCTCTCGAGTGCTACCGAATTTGGTAATTGATCCGCCCTCGTTTCTCAGGGATCAGTGAAAATTCACGCTTTCGTCGTACAAAGCTCTATTGTTTATGAATGAGATTCTTTAAAAGATTCTATTTTTCTTTATTCGTCATAGTTATGTGAAAGAAAGAAACATTGAATATATATTTTATTTAGAGATGCTAATTAATAAAAATATCTTTCGAATCTAATTGAATCTTAATTGTTATTTCAACTACCATTG